GCAACATAAAAGAGAAGGAAAGCTTTTTATTTTTAAAATAATTAAAATTTAGATGATCAAAGTTTGTTAATTTGAAATCAAAGGATTTTGGTAGAAGTTTTTCTTTGCGACAACGAAGTAAAAAAGTTTTTTGTTGATGACGATAGCCAATTTTGAGAAAAGATTTGAAATAGTTTTAAATAATATGAGTTTAGTAGGTCCATAGCAATGGAAAATGTATTCGAAAAAAGATGGAAAAGAGTAAGGAATGCAATGTATAAAACTATTATGAAAATAATTGTTGTAACGGTAAATTGACGAATTATTGATATTATTATAACTCTGTGTGTAAGTTGGATAATGATAAGAAGAACGATTATTATGTCTTACCTTATTTGTATGGAGAGCGCTATTTACATACATAGCATTGAAATTATAGTTATTTTGAAAATTCATGTTGGTAAAAATTAAAAAAACACTTGTAATAGTTCTTGAAAATGATCAAAATCTTGGATTTGTAACTTCAGTGTAGTATTGGTTCTGAGTGTCCTAACAAGAAAGTCTTGATATGTAAGCTTGCAAAAAATCTTGAGGAAAATTGTTGAGTCTTGAAACTTGTAGAATATTTGAGAATCAGTGTCTTGAGAAAGACAAAAAATCTTGAATATTTTATGTTGAAATTGTCCAATTTTTCAGCCCTTGGATTATATAAAGCGAGAGGTTTTTCTTCAGATGGTGAAATAATATGATAAAATTGTTTCTTGGGCATCCATCCAGTAATTAAAAAAAACAGTTTTATTGAAAAATGTTTTTATTTAGAGAAACATACGTTTCTGGTCTTGATTTGACCCATATCGTATACATGCATACCCATAGCACAAACATCACATATACAAATACATATATACCACACAATACATATACATACATATATACATATATATATACACATGTAAATATATACATATATATATATATATATATATATATATATACATACATTACATTAAAAAAGCAACAAAGTATTAATAAGGTTTAGATATGTATCATGTAATATATTGGTATCTGTCCGTAAATTTACTGTATTATTTGTATGAGCTATTAACATGGATTCTGCAATGCTTCTTTTAAATAAATCTTTTTCATAATATAATATGTGCGGATTATTGAAATCGAAACCATGGTTTTTAGAGATAACGTGGTCTACCAGTGTACTTTTTTGTTGTTTGTTGTCATTTTTACTTTGTTTACTTTGTAATTCGTGTTGTCTTAATCTTTTTTCTAAATTATGACATGTTTGACCAATATAAGATGAATCGCAGTTCAAGCAGTTTATTTTGTAAACAATATCTTTTCTTTTCATGGTAGGTATACTGTCTTTAATGTTTGTGTGTATATCTTGCAATTGTAGTAAGGGTGACACGGATATGTTGATATTGTGTTTATTAAAATGTCTTTTGGATAAAAGGTGTAAATCTTTGTCTATATACGGAAAATTCACAAAACATTTATTTTACGATACAGGCAAGTTTTCTGGGAAATTTGTAGTTATTTTTTGTATGCCTAATAAAAATTTAATTCTATTTTTAATTATTGGATTGATTATTTTGTAAGGGAAACTATTCATGAGTGATGTGTTAATGACTAATTTGATATTGTGATTGTGAAATTTTGGGTTTGATAAGAGAATTGCATGATCTACTAAACTGAGAACTGTGGATATCTTTATATTGAGAGGTGTAAAATAATTAAAATTAGTGTACCTGCCTGACCAGCTATCTTTCCTGAACCAATTGGTAATGCAAATACCGTCGTCGTTAATGAGCTGAACATCAAGAAATTATATAGAGTTATCTTTTTGTAATTCTTGTGTGAATTGTAAATGAAAATTATAATTATTAAATTTTTGAAAAATATTCTCCATATCATTCTTGATTAATAAAAGAGTGTCATCGACATATCGAAAATATTAAAATTATAGAATTCAATACACTATTTTCTAAATCTTGTAGCACTAAGTCGGCTAATACGGGACTTAAAGGACTTCTCATAGGACATCCTCTTATCATAGTATAAAATTTATTATTGAATTGGAAATATGAGGCTTTCAGTAGTAAATCTATTCCAGAAATAAATGTTTCGAGAGGTAGTGAAGTGTATCCAACAATTTGCAACCATTTACTTCTAATGGCAATAATAAATAATTTATGTGGAATGTTGCTGAAAAGATTAATAACATCAAAACTAATGAATGAAAAATGAAACTTTATACGGTCTACTAAACTGTTTGAATTGTTAAAAAAATATGGTGAATTCATAGTAACATTTTTTAAAATTTTGGAAAAGATTTTAAATAAATTATAGTAAGGTGAATCAATGTATGAAACTATCGGTCTGAAGGGGTAATTAGGTTTATGTATTTTAGACAGTAGGGAAGACAGCAGAATTTAGGTACTAGAGGGTGTTGGACTTTTAACTTTAAGGCAATAGAATTGTTGATGTGACCTTTTTTCTCATAAGATTGATGTATTTAAAAGCTTGTCGATGATGGTAATTGTTAGGATCATTCGGTAACTCCTCATACATTGTTTTATGTTCTAGGATGTTTTTTTCATAATTATCTCTTAATAGAATTACTGAAATATTCTCTTTGTATGCTTTGTTGCTTTGTAACGGCTAACACATAATGCTAATTTAGGTTTTCATATTTTAGATTTTAAATTTTAATACACTGATGATGAGACAAACCTAGTCTCGAAGCATTTGTAAAATTATTATTTAATAAATTAGTGCAAAAAAGAGTGTTGTTTGTTCATATTTCCAAATTAATATATATATATATATATATATATATATATATATATATATATATAAATGTATATATATATATATATATATATATATCATAGTTTATTGAGCAACACTATAAACCCCGTTCCTATGTATATACATATAAATGTGTGTGTATGTAATTACAAGACCTGTGTTGTTCCGCATTTGCTTCCTAAATATGACAATTTATGTTATTTTTAACCTATTAGCAAATGGCGTAACAATTAGACCCACCAGCAAATAATCTTATATATAAAAATGAATCGCAAAATGTGATGGTAAGCACATAACTCAACAACGCCTGGACCAATTTGGCCAATTTTTTTTTAAATGTTCGTTGAATTTCAAGGATGGTTCTTACGGCAAGAAAAAATCAAATAATTGCCGGAAAAAACCCCAAAAATGCCCTTTTCTTCTTCACATACAAACGTTTTCTAACTAAAACGTAGAATCAACTTGAGCTTTATTGCTATTTTATAAAGTTTATATTAAATTACAAGAACTTACTGTATAATCCTCCTAAACTATTATTCGAATTTTGATAAATGTTTCTGAAGTTTTTTAAGGAAATTTTCTTGGATGTATGTGATAATAAAGTACTGGGATGTATGTGTAATATTGTAGAAATAAATGAAAAAAATTGCAAAAAACGACATGTCATTATTTGCATTGATAACAAATAAAATCTATCATCTGCCAAAAAGTTCAAATTACTTATGAAGCTAGTCAATATTATAATATGTATAATAAATTTATGATTAGAAAGAAAAATGAAATGCCTACATTATTAATGCCAAAAAGCAGCTGAGATGTGCCAGAAATTAAAATAATATAAGATACAGTATATGTATGGCAGATTGAATGACATATGAACAGGTTATAACAAAATAATTCACTTAAAATTTGAAATTAAGTATTAATCAGGGCCGGTCCTACCTTTAATGTGATGCATGCGAAAAATACGAGCGCACGCCTTAGGAGCCGCCAACACAAGATTCAGATATTAAATTTTCAATATAGTTTTTTTTTAAATATATAATTTCTTTGCATCTTTTATTAATTTTTCCACGATATTTTAAAAATTCGTAAAAATTTCACTTTATAACAACAAATGAGAATGTAAAGATGAATACATACAATTCGACCCTCACGATATCGATTAGGATACGTTTGAGATGCAATTTTGGATATATTAAATAATAAAAAATTAAATGAATTTAATCCAACATGAAGTACCAGTGTTATGTTATGGTTATATTTTGTTTTTATATCAATATATGGCATGCTTTGATTTTGGCGTGAAAAAATACATTTTTTGCAAAAATTATGAGTTATTCATAATGTTACTAAATCGCTAGATATTTACTAAAGTGAGGGCTTATCTGTCTAAGGTAATCTAATTTTGTGTATTTTTTTAATTCTTTCAATGGATCTCCAAAACCGCTAGACTTGTCTTTCCAAAAATTTAATCATATCTTTATTTCGTTAATACAACGAAAATGTTTTTTGAATCAATCAAATCAATCTCCCTATCAATACGAAACAAATGTTTATTGAATTATTCAAATCATTGATCCCTTTACACAAATTCGTCGACAAAAATTTGTATCCGCACATACATACATACACGCATACATCCATATAAGGTATGCCAAAATGTTCAGAAAACTTTGAAACGTAAAAACACTACGTAACTTGTAGTAATCGCAAAAAAAACGAAAATGAAAATTTTTAAAATTTTGAAAAAAAATCTAAATTATCAAAAAAAAAATCTAAATCCTAATAAAAAAATAGAAAAAATTTCTTATAAACATACAAAAAGTTGTTTGTAGAAGACGCTCGTCGCCTGATTCAAAAAACACTTATAAGTTTACAGTATGTATTTATAATAAATAATCTATTTGAAATTATTCAAAACTATTATTGATTATTTTCATTTCTCGAATGTTTAATTACGAAACGGGAAATTCCAGCAGTTTGTCTAGTTATTTTTTGCGATTACTATAACTTACCCAACAGGAAGTTAGGAAAATATTCAAAACAATTGTTATTAATCGTTGATCAATGTTTTTTTATTATTAATTTTTTCCTCGAATATTTAATAACGGTACGGAAAGTTCCAGTAATTTGCATTAAGGTTTAAAGTTAAATTTTATTTTTTTCTTAATTGTAACTAATCTAATACCAACCAATTTTTTCTTGTGTGGTTTTATTCCTGGTTTCTTCGTTTAATTGCGCCGGACTGTCCGCCTCATCACTGTCGCCTCCGAGAAACGCTTCCGTGTACTCTTCGATGCAATTTTTCACCTTCGTTGGATTAAGATAAACTGCAACGTTGTTTGTAATCCATGTAGATAACAGAGCTCCAATAATTGTGCCATTCTCGTCAGCCTGTGGATTTTTCTTGTTATATATAATGTAAATTTTGTTTAAGTAATATTCATTTTTATTGAATTTCATTCTTTAATTACGAATTGCGCGTTCGTAGTTAATTTACAGCTTAAATTAAAAGTTGCCGTCAAAATTGATTATATAGGCAATGAAAATTCACATAAATTTTACGTCAAAGGATAACGTTTTTTTGTTTACAATTAAGTGCAATAGTAGTTGATATTTATTTATAGATGTGTTATAAGATGAAAGAGATGGATCTGATGTGGGGACAAGGCTAATCTTCAATTCATAGAATAGTTATCAGTCTTCACTTGGCGCTCGAAGCAAACACATCTGTTATACAATACCTGAGTACTAACTATAAGCATAGCAAACAATATTTATTTCACGCTTACAGTTAGTGTTTGATCTAATAAGTGACTTTACTTGTGAACTCAGTGCATTTTATTAAATATAGTTACAGTTAAATATATTACCTCTTGTGGAAACATTTAACATCATTCACGAAGATATAAATAATTCCACTCAACAAGTGCTAAGCCAGATGAGCAGAAAAAGGAATAACGATGATGCCGTAAATAAATCATCATCGTCGGACTCAACAACAATTCCATCCACAAGTAAAATCTCTTCAACAGCAACAATGGACGCTGACAGTGTATGTGAAGTTATTGACTATACAAATAAAAATCCGTGGCTAGAAGTAAATTTCGCGAAAAGACCTCGTTCTAGCAGCACCGAAACTAATATAAGCGTACCTATAAAACTAACTAACCAGTACAGCGCTCTAGCAAACAACGCTTCAAAACCATCTAATTCAAATGAAACAACAGTTAATAAAAAACAACTCCTCCGCCTTTGTTTGTCTATGGGGTTCGAGATTTCAATCTAATGATAGCAGACATTAATTCGACTCTAAATAAAGATAAATATGTCACTAAATACCTACCAAATAAAACAAATTCAACAAATTTGAAAAAGATGATTATCGCAAATTTGTTAAATTTCTGCGCGAAAGAGAAATCATTTATCATACTTGCCAGATAAAAGAGAAACGCTCATACAGGGTTGTACTCAAATACCTGCACTAGCTACAAATAAAAATGACATCAAAGCCGAAATTGAAAATAAAGGTTATCCTGTCAGAAACATTAGCTACAAATAAAAATGACATCAAAGCCGAAATTGAAAATAAAGGTTATCCTGTCAGAAGCATTATTAATATCATACACCCGAAAACAAAACATGTTTTACATAGACTTGGAACCAAAAGAAACAATTCATCAATTTTTAAAATGAATAAAATATTAAACCAAATAATTCACTTTGAGGCTCCAATAAAATCATCAAATATTGCCCAATTTGTAAGACGTCAAATGTACGGCTATACTGAGACATACTGTAACCGCAGATTTATATGCGTGAAATGCGGCTCTGATCATGATCCTAAAAAATGTACATAAGTACCTGAAGCCCCACTTTTTGTTATCCTCTTACTATTTTTACCTTATAGACATGAATAACGGTTTTTATTTAAACACAAATACAAACCACAGTACGCAAACCTTCAGCATAAGTCTTGTTGAGGTAATGCACAGGTAATCGCAATCAAATCTATTTAATCACAATCAAAACCACATTAACAATAGTAATACTCCATCGATGTCTGATTTCCTGACCGAATTTGAAAATATGTTCTGTCAGTTAATGGAACAAAATACCATGATTATCAAAATGTTATCAACGTTAATCAACAAAATGAACTAATGGCTAATGTTTTAAATTCAGGATTATGGAATACTAACGGCTTGTATGAACACAAAGTCGAAGTAGATCTATTTTTGAGACATATGTCAATTGAGGCTCGAGATTAAATAATCATAAAGAAAAACAGCTATTTGATACCATATACAAACATATATATATAGTGTTGTATATTTAGGTTTCTTCACCTACTGGCCGAGCGATCCTGCCAAAAAACCAGATCTATTGGATTTTTTTGTATCATCTTGTATAAGCTCCATTCACAAGGAAGTACGTGCTAGCCTTGACCCGTCATCTGACCATAGTCCATTAATAGCCAGCATAAGCACATCTGCAAGTCTTTCTAATCTCTCCTCTAGGATCTACAACCATGAAACAAACTGAGACATCTACCGGAAGTTCATAGATGACAACGTTGACCTCAAAGTTAAACTTAAAAGCTCCGCTGACATCGAAAACACCATCGATTCCTTCAATACACTCCTACATGATGCTGCAAAATTTGCTACTTCTATTACGATAAAAAAAACTCTTGTTAGGGGACAACATATAAAATAAAAAAACTCATACCAAAAAAGAGAAAAGCTAAGCGAAGATGACAATATAGCCCACAGACAAAAATAATTTTAACAATTTGAGTAACAAGCTGAGCAAAGTGAAGCAAATAAAAACCCGAGTTGAAAAACTTGGCAGGCTCATCGGACATAGATCTAAATTATCTCTAGAAAACAAGGTCTTTATTTATAATATGATAATTAAACCTTTATGTACTTATGGTCTTCAGCTTTCGAGCTGCTCAAGCAAATCAAATATTGCTCTTATACAACGGATGCAATCAAAAATAACTCGTTTGATTACAGGGGCTCCCTGGTACATAACTAATCAGATGTTCGTCACTGAAGTCATCAAATCTATCAGTGAAAATCATGACCGAAAGCTTGAAAACCATCCTAACATACTAAAAGCCCCTTTGTTAGCAATTCCAAATAGCAAAAGATTAACGAAGAAATGCCCCAGGGATTTGATCTAATTTGGATATCACTCCATGAAGTGACCACTACTAAATATTGTGACGATAATCAATATTAACGTCTTTTTGATAATTATTGTCGCCTGATGATCGTCCACCCCAGAGTACACCATCCCTACCCTTAACCATTTATTGGTTCTTGGGGTCCATTAGAGAGTTGCTCTGGAGGTCCTGGCAATTAAGAAGTAACAGCCATCTAAGACGTATCCCATAGGCGAACGCCTTGGGATACGTTAGTGTTAGTTGTGTGTGTGTTGTGCAACAAGACAGGTCCAGCTTAAAGGTCAGATTATGTAAATTATAAGCGGTAGCTATTCTCTCCCCCATATACTCATACGTTTGTATGCAAGTACAGTCAAGTTTCACAAATACATTCAAGATGTATTATTAATCACTTAATAGATTCAGTTATAAAAGTAATCTTGGTTTCATTCGTATAGTAGCTACTAACCCCCACAGGTAATTACAGGTACTTTAGCGGGCGATTGGAGTGTTGAAGTAACTCCTTCGTAATGGGGTTGCAAGGCTAAAATATAGTATTTGGCAGCCATTGCATACCCCAAGTAGGGGGCTTCAACCCCCATTCGTCACAATATTTATAAAATTTTTATCGAGAGTGTGTGTGCGTGAATGTCTGTGCGTATGTATGTATGCATGTTTGAGTACATAACTAGCTGTAAGTGGAATTCGGTCTTAAGGCAATTAAGGCATCGTGCCTTAAGGCAAATTGCTGGAACTTTCCGTACCAAATATTATTATTTTTTCAAAAACGATTAACATTTTTGAAAAAAAATTACTTCGAAAAAATTAGATTTTTGACGAACTAGGAATTTGACAAAATATTATTTTTTGATTTTTTTTTTTTTTGAAAAAAAAATGTTTTCTTTATTTTGACATATTTTGGAAATTCTGAACTTTTTTTTCAAAGCAATCGTACTGCTTTAACTGCATAGAGACTGTTCGGACGTCTTTTCATTTTATTATATTGGCCATGAAAGTTTACAAAACTTCAGAGCATTAAGCTTTATACGGAATGGTTGCTACCCCTGGTAGAGGGGGGTAGCGGAGTGTTTCAAAGGAACTAGTTGTTCTGTTCTAAAAGTGAAGCCGACTTAAACACATGTAACTAACCTATACGCATAAATATATTTTTCTTCATTAATACTTAATAATACATCAGTTATTGTGATTAGAACTGCAACAAATACAGAATATAAAATTAAATCAGTTTTTTTAATACAGTCCACAGCGACAAAGGTTAAATAATAACCTAACAACCTGAGTGATCGAAGAAGAAGAGTTTTGGTAAATTCTTGAAATACGCACAAATAAACAGAGACGAAATATCGAAGCACGTAAGCACCGCGTTGCCGTCTAATGGATGAGCATTGGTACGGAACCCATAGGAATGCAAACAAAATTTATACTTGTTGTTAAAATCTCTATAAAATATCTGATAATTTAATGTGCATATATCTAATGATTATTTTTGACCGCCAAATGGCTCATTTTTTTACTTTTTTCTCCATATCTCCAAAGTCGTTGGACCTGCCTTTCCAAAAATTTGAACAGATCTTCATTTAGTCAATACAATTAAAATGTTTTTTGAATTATTCAAATCGGACAAAAATCGGAAATCGTCGACAAAAATTTGTATCCGCACACACATGCACACACACACATCCATGTTTTCTAAAGTATGCCAAAATATTTAGAAACCTTTGAAACGTAAAGATATATAAAAATTTTCATTTTGACCTACGGGAAGTTAAAAAACATTCGATTCGTACTGGTAAGGAGACGTGCTAATTAGTTTTTGGCAAAGGCAGGTCTAGTCGTTCCAAAGATATGGGGCAAAAAGTGCCAAAACGGTAACTCAGTTTTTAAGAGAACGGAGCATCCGATTTGAATAATTGAAAAAACATTTTACTTGTATTAACAAGATAAAGAACTGATCAAATTTTCATGAAGTCAGGTCTAGCGGTTTTGAAGATCTGGTAAAAAAAGTAAAAAAAATGCCATTTGGCGTTCAAAAATGATCATTAGGCATATGCACATCAAATTATCAGATATTTTATAGAGATTTTAACAATAAGTATAAATTTTGTGTACCTTCCTATGGGTTCCGTACCAATGTTTATCCATTAGACGGCGACGCGGCGCTTACGCGCTTCAATATTTCATTTCTATCAAGTTAAAGCAG